TTGCTAACACCTCCTCCTTATGAACCTCAATCCCGTCTAGTCTAATAAACTGTATCTCAGTATTCTCCTCGGCAACATCGTCGAGAAGAAGGGTCTAGGTCCAAAACGTCAGCTTTCCTGCTCCTCTGATGCTGCTTGGCCTGCTCTGTTCATCCAGCTCCACACCGTGTTATCTCTAATGTACTGGCATCCCACGGCAGTTGGTGGAATTTTAATTCAATAAAATATCTGGAATTAAGAATCTAATGATGACCGTGAATCCATCGTCAATTGTTGGGGGAAAAACCCATCCTTCCCTTTAGGGAAGGAAATTGCCGTCCTTACTTGGTCTGGCCTACATATGACTCCAGACACTGGGCAATTAGGGATGGGCAATAAATGCTGCCGATCCAGCGAGACCCTTAGCCCGTGAATGAATAAAAATACCCCCGCCCCCCTCAGCAGGTAATGGAGACAGAGCATAGGCTAACTAGGGGAGGGTACAGTCCACCCTTATCTCTCTCCGCCTCCTGGGTCTGGGACCTCCAAAGCATCGCAATTACCTTCCAAGTGCCGAGGCCTAGAAGCGGCATCCGAGCACCGCCATTGAGCAACCGACTAGTGGAAGACACCGCCATTTCCCCTCGGACACATTCCTCCTCCTGACCGAGGCCCAAGATCAGGGCAGGACGCAGGCCCCAAACCCCGCCCCCAAACCATGGATGCTGCACAGCCCGCCCATTGGGACAGGGCCCGCCCACAAACCACGGGGAAAGGCCCCACCCACTTTGGAGACTGGCCCCGCCCACCTCACGCTTGGGGATTGGCCCCGCCTCCACCATAAAACAGGTCCCGCCCTCAGTCACTGGGCCCTGCCCCCTGTAGCTAGGCTCCGCCCCATACAGATGACACCGCCCCCTGTAACGCGGCCTTCTTAAAGTAGGCCCCACCTCCTTGAGTCATCTCTTCCCCCCCCAAACTTCCGGACAGGCCCCACCTCCCAGAAACAAGACACACCCTCTGTAGGCAGGCCCCGCCCCTCTGAGACCCATTCCCTGTAGACAGACCCTGCCACCCTGGAGAGAAGATGTGGTGGTGCCAGTGTTGGACTGGGATGGACAATGTCACACTTTACACATCACACACATTATAGTCCAACAGGTTTATGTGAAGACACAAGGTTTCAGAGTCTCGCTCCTTCTTGAGGTGTCAGTGAGACAGATGGCATCAGACACAGAATTTATAAGCAAGAGATCAAAGGGTCATAGAACTGATGCGAATGTATTGAACAAACCTAAGATGGCTGTTAAATCTTTAATCACTTAAAAAGGATTAATATGCAGATCCCAGAATTTCTTTCAAATCACTACCCAAGATAACTAAAGGGTTAAAAATCGAAAGAACTGCAGATGCTGTAAATCAGGAACAAAAACAAAGTTGCTGGAAAAGCTCAGCAGGTCTGGCAGCATCTGTGAAGGAGAAAACAGAGTTAACGTTTGAGGTCCAGTGACCCATCCTCAGAACTCAGGAAGGGTCACCAGACCCAAAACATTAACTCTGTTCATTCCTTCACAGATGCTGCCAGACCTGCTGAGTTTTTCCAGCAACCTTGTCATAACTAAAGGGTTTATCCGTATACCAGAGGTGACATCTCATGTCCGACAATGCATTTTAGGTGTGAGGCCTTGTTTAGAAACTGGCTGCATATTAACTTGGAGTCAGACTGGTTTTTATTTACCGGTATTGATAAAACCTTTAGTTACCTCGGGCACTGACTTGAATGAAATTCTGGGATTTGCATATTAATCCTTTTTAAGTGATTAAAGATTTAACAGCCATCTTAGGTTTGTTCAATACATTCGCATCAGTTCTATGACCCTTTGATCGTTTGCTTTTCAATTCTGTGTCTGATGCCACCTCTCTCACTGACACCTCAAGAAGGAGCGAGACTCTGAAATCTTGCGTCTTCAAATAAACCTGTTGGACTATAACCTGGTGTCATGTGATTTTTTGACCCCAGAGACAGACCCAGCCCCCTTCAATATAAACTCGCACCCCCCAATATATCCCATCCCCTAGAGAAAAGCTCCACAATGGGAACATGCCCTGCCTAGAGGCAGGAACAAAAGCAGATTTGCTGGAAAAGCTCAGCAGGTCTGGCAGCATCTGTGAAGGAAAAAACAGAGTTAACGTTTCGGGTCTGGTGACCCTTCCTCAGAACTGGGGCCTAGAGACAGGCCCCACTCTAATAGATGGTGTACACTAAGGTGAAATAACCCACTGGGCCATTTGCCCATCTGATCAAGGTCCCATTGTACTCAGAGATAACTTACTTGGCTGTCCACTACACCATCAATTTTGGTGTCATCTGCAAATGTACTAACCATACCTCCTCTCTTCACATCCAAATCATTGATATAAATGACAAAAAGCAGTGGACTCATATCTTGGATCACAGAGTGTATCCAAACGGTTCTTTTGGATTTGGTGAAATGTGGTTAAGAGAAAATTCAACAATAGAAATTTGCTTAACTATAAACATTTATTAAGTAGTAATAAAATACGGAAAAGAAAAGAAAAAAGCTGAAATATGAATGTTTTTTAAGTCATAAAAAAGATGGAAAAGGAAGGAAAAGAAAAAATAAGACACATGCCCTTCTGCCCGTTGGGAACTCCTCGATCGATGGCTATCTGGAGGCTTAGGTTTGTTTGTAGCACTGTTCATGATCCCAGTCTGAGGTGAAGTTCAACGACTTGGAATGAAACTCTCCCTCTTATACAGTGTAGCAAACAGCAAACACAGAAAAAAACAACTTGATTGTGCCGTCTTTGGCACGTACAGGAATGTTCATAGGTCTCATTCAAGGTCATGCAGCTGTCGAATATCATCAACAATTTTAACCCTTCAGCCCATCCTATACAATCCACTCTGATGATATTTGACAAAGCATGTTACAACTGAAGACGCAGACACAAATCAGTGACAGCTGCACGAGAACGTATAATAAAAGAATGTAACCTACATTAGAAGATTAGAATTACAATGAAAATAACCTTCACCAATTTGGAAGAAGGATGCTTATATGAGGTTTAGGAAACAAGGATCAGAAAAGGCTCGAGAAGGATGCAAGTTAGCCAGCAAGGAGCTGAAGAAAAGGCTTAGGAGAGCTATAAAGGGGGCATGAGAAAACCTTGGCAGACAGGATTAAGTAAAACTCTAAGGCTTTTTACACGTACGTGAAGAATAAGAGAATGACCAGAGTAAGGGTAGGGCCGATCAAGGATTGTAAAGGGAATTTGTGCATGGAACCTAAAGAGATGGGACAGGTCCTTAATGAATACATTTCTTCGATATTCACAACTGAGAAGGACCTAGTTGTAGAGGAGGACAGTGTGAAACAGGCTGGTAGGATAGAGGAGGTCGATGTTAGTGAGGATGATGTACTAGGAATTTTGAGGAACTTGAAGACAGGTAAGTCCCCTGGGCCTGATGGGATTTATCCAAGGATTCTATGGGAAGCGAGGGAAGAGATCGCAGGGCCTTTGGTGATGATCTTTTCGTCCTCACTGTCCGCGGGTATAGTGCCGGAAGATTGGAGAGTGGCAAACGTCATTCCCTTGTTCAAAAAAGGGAATAGAGATAACCCCGGAAATTACAGGCCAGTTAGTCTTACGTCAGTGGTGGGCAAATTATTGGAAAGGACTCTGCGAGACAGGATTTATGATCACTTGGAAAGGCACAGTTTGATTCGTGATAGTCAGCATGGATTTGTGAAGGGTAGATCATGCCTCACAAACCTTATTGAATTCTTTAAAGAGGTGACCAAACACGTGGATGAAGGTAGAGCAGTGGATGTGGTATACATGGATTTAAGTAAGGCGTTTGATAAGGTTCCCCATGGTAGGCTCATGCAGAAGGTAAGGAGGCATGGGACAGGGAGAAATGTGGTAGATTGGATTCAGAATTGTTGACCCTTAGAAGATAAAGGTTGGTAGTGGACGGAAAATATTCAACATGGTGCTCAATTAAGAGTGGTGTACCACACTGATCTCTTCTGGGTCCTCTACTATTTGTGATTTCTGTAAATGATTGGAAGTAGGAGTGGAAGGGTGGATTAGTAAGTTTGTGAACGATACGAAGGTGGGTCAAGTTGTAGATAGTGCGGAGGGCTGTTCTAAGTTACAAAGGGACATTGATAGAATGCAGAGCTGGGCTGAGAAGTGGCAGATGGAGTTTAACCCTGAAACGTGTGAGTTGATTCATCTTGGAAGGACAAACTTGAAAGCAGGATACAGGGTTAACGGAAAGATTCTTGGCAGTGTGGAGGAGTAGAGGGATCTTGGGGTTCACGTCCACAGTGCTGCCACCCAGGTGGATAGAGTTGTTAAGAAGGCGTATGGTGTGTTAGCTTTCATGAATAGAGGGATTGAGTTCAAGAGCCGTGAAGTTATGCTCCAGCTATATAAAAGCCTGGTTCGGCCACATCTGGAGTATTGTGTCCAGTTCTGGTCGCCTCATTACAGGAAAGATGTGGAAGTGTTAGAAAAGGTGCAGAGGAGATTTACCAGGATGTTGCCTGGAATGGAGGGAAGGTCTTATGAGGAAAGGTTGAGAGAACTAGGGCTTTTCTCTTTAGAATGACGAAAGATGAGAGGTGACTTGATAGAGGTGTACAAAATGATCAGAGGTATAGATAGCAAGGTGTAGAGCTGGATGAACACAGCAGGCCATGTGACATCAGAGGAGCAGGAAAGCTGATGTTTGGGCCTAGACCCTTCTTCTGAAAATGATTTGATTCCACGTGTTTGGTTTTTCTGAAGAAGGGTCTAGGCCCAAAACGTCAGCTTTCCTGCTCCTCTGATTCTGCTTGGCCTGCTGTGTTCATCCAGCTCTACACCTTGTTATCTCAGATTCTCCAGCATCTGCAGTTCCTACTATCTCAGAGGTATAGATAGAGTCGACAGCCAGAGACTTTTTCCTCAGGTGGTGGTAGCTATTACGAGGGGGCATAGTTTTAAAGTGAGTGGAGGTAGATATAGGGGAGACGTCAGAGGTAGGTTATTTACTCAGAGAGTGATCGGAGCGTGGAACGCATTGCCGGAGAGGGTAGTGGAGTCGGCCTCATTAGGGGCATTTAAACGGCTATTAGATAGGCATATGGATGATAGTATAAGGTAGGGGTGGAGGTTAGATAGACTTACTTTTAGGGTAAAAGTTTGTCACAACATCGTGGGCCGAAGGGCCTGTACTGTGCTGTACTGTTCTATGTTCTATTTCAATAATACATTAGGATGTATCACCAACTTAACGATTGCAGTGGCCTTTCGGGACCAACCCTTAAATATATATCCCACCCTGATGCATTGTCAAGCCTGTGATTGAACCAGCAAGTCGTGCCACTTGTCTGTCTGCCTCCGATGGGATCAAAATTGAGAGGGGCTCACGGAGGATTAGCGTTTTCATGCTTACACTAATATCAGTAATATTCTTAACTGCAACAGTGTCAGATACATACATGCAACGTAATCTATTCTGCTCCCGTCCTGGTGTCAAGGATCCCATTCCCACTGAAGTCCCTCAAAACCTGTAAGAGGGAGAGAGGGAAAAAAAAGTGCCAGATTAGGTGACTGTTAGTCAATTTCTTTCTGTTCTGGTGTTTGGATCATTCTGTGCGCATTAATTTTAATTACTGCTACCACTGGGTACGTGACTAGGGTCTCGTG